TCAAACTATTTGATTTGAACACACCTTCTAAATGGGTCCTTTACCTTTCAATGTTATAGAGTTCCCTGTTCTTTTCTTTTGAAAAACTGCGATACAGAATTATATTAACGCTCAGTTTGCCCTTAAATGCAACCAGCTACATGCATAAATTAATGAGCTCTAGTACATAAAAGTTTACAAGTATATTTTCAGCACAATATATATATATATTTAAGGGGAGAGAGAGAGAGAGAGAGAGAGAAAGCCCTGCTCTTCATGGTTAATGAGAGAAAGCCCTGCTCTTCATGGTTAATGAGAGTCAAATATCTTGTAAAGTTGTGCTAAATATATATATATATATATATAGGGAAAGTGCAACATGTCCACTTTTCAAGGACATAAAATTGATGTTTGCTTCATGAAAACTTCATCAGCTTCTAAATTTCTACCGAGCTTTGTTGTTTTACAACGGTGCTAATTTGCATTTGAACATAAGAAACGTCTTAACACCAAGACCAAAATGCTGCAGCTCAGATGGCTGGGGCTTTGCAAATAACGCCTGAAAGAAAGGCACTGCGCTGCACATTTTGCATACAGCAACTGATTTTCCCCAACAATAAGAAGCCAAAATCAGGCCATTGAACTTTTATCTGTTCAAAATTAGATCTCTCCAAAAGGGGTACTTAAGATTGTTCTTGATGTTCTGTGTTTATGACAACACCGCATTTATTCTCAATCACTCGTCACGAGAATTTTATTGTTAGGCATATATCCTACCCCTTCCATATGCAGCATCAAACTGTCCAAAACCGAGAAAATTGTATTGGAATCGCTGTGAATTCGGTCTCTTGCAACAAAGGTATGAACATCGTTATTTACTTCAATCCAACTCTGGCCTGTTTCTTTCACCACTCCATTGAAGTCCATTCTTTGCCTCAATTTCTTGGCATCTACCCACATGCCTTTGGATGCAAAAACATGTGAAAGTAAAATATATGATCCACTATCTGTTGGATCACTGGAAATCGCCATCTCAGCAGCGTACTTACCTAGTTCTACGTTACCTGCGACTCTACACGCACTAAGCAAACTCCTCCATACCACTCCCGCTGGCTTTGTAGGCATTTTCTCAATGAATTCCTTAGCTTCAAATAGCTTCTCTGCGCGACCCAATAGAGAAACTATGCAAGCATAATGATCAGTCCCCGGTTCGATCCCAAACCATGGCATTGAGTCAAAATGATGAAGCCCATCTTCAACAAGACCTGCGTGGCTACATGCTGATAGCACACCCACAAAGGTGATATAGTTAGGCTTTATTCCTTTTTCTTTCATTCTTTCAAACATTTAAAGAGCTTTTTCTGCTTCTCCATGTTGTGCATATGTTGACAGCATTGAATTCCAACAGACAACCTCTCTCCGACAAGCGGAAGTAAACATCATACAAGCCTCTTCAATGCTTCCGCACTTCGCATAATATCCACAAGACAACTTGTGATGAAAGGGTCATGATCAGCCCCGCCTTAATGAGCTGGTTATGGAACTGTTGGCCATGTCAAAGACTTGCTAAAATTACTCGACGCTGTAAGTAGCACTGCAAAAGTAAAGTCATCGGGCTTTTGTCCTGATAATTGTAAATCTGAGTAAAGTTTTAGAGCCTCTTCACTTTCTAACTGTTTGACGTATCCGAAGAACATTGCATTCCAAACTACAATATCTTTCTCATTCATCGAGTCGAAGACAAGTCTAGCATCCTTAATGCATGAACACTTGGAATAAACATCTACCAGAGCGCTCGAAGCAAATATGTCCAATGAGAATCCTAATTTGGTAATGAGAACATGAATTTGCTTGCTCAATTCCAGGGTAAGCAAAGCAGCCGATACACCAAGAAGGCTAACGAAAGTCAAGAGACTTGGTTGGAGCAATCGAACCCTCATATGTTGGAAAAGATCTACTGCTTCATACAACTTCTCCTGTCTAGAATATCCTTCAATCATTGCATTGTAAGAAATCACACTGTGACCGGTCATATTATCAAAAACTCTTCTTGCATCAGACAGGGAATTGCATTTTGCATACATATCAATCAAGCCATTCTTCACAAAATCGTCATATTCAAGACTGACCTTGATAGAGTAAGTGTAGATTTGTCTTCCTAGTTTTAGCGCCTCAAGAGAGCCGCAAGTAAGAACGCTCGTGCAGGCGAATCCATCTGGCTTCCAGCTTAATCTCGTCATTTCAAGAAATAGCTTCATGGCCTCCCAATCATATGAAGTTTTCATGTACCCGGCTATCATCGTGGTCCATGTGACAATGTTTTTCACCGCTACATGATCAAATAGTCTCTTTCCCGCTTGCACTTTGCCGGACTTTACATAGAGATCGATAAGCACATTAAGAATCAAAACATCCATTTCAACTCCCTTCATCAACACATAAGCATGAATTTGCTTTCCAACGTCAATGAACCCAAGCATTGCACATGCACTTAAAACACTTGCTATAACATATTTGTCAGGAATAGTGTCGGTTTCTTCCATTTGAAAAAACAACTGCAAAGAAACTTCGCTTTTCCCAGCTTTGACATACCCCGTTATAATCGTAGTCCAAGTAACAGAAGATCTCACAACCAAATCATCAAACACTCATCTTGCTTCTTCTACATCGCCACATTCCACGTGAAAGTCAATCAAAGAGGTACCCACATAGACTTCCTGATCAAAAACCGTCTTAACAACAAAACCATACACTTAGCAGCCTCAATCGACCCCGCCCAACTGCGTGCAGGCTCGGAGAACGCTTGTCAAGACTTGCTCACTCGTTCTCCAATCAGAACTTCTCCAAAACTTCGAGAAGACCAGCAATGCTTGTTTATTACAACCATGATGTGCATACATGGAAACCATAGTGGATCAAGTAATGGAATTTCTTGCAGGCATTTTATTGAACAGCTCCTGTGCGTCGAGAAGACGGCTAGATCGTGAGAAAGAACGCAAGAGAAAGTTGGCCAGAAAAGCATCGTGTTGAAGACCCAACACTATAATGCGTGCACATGAATTCTGTTATGAAAGGAAGTGGGTTTGTCTGAGGGGTTTTGTTGTAAGAGGTTGGCCAATGCGTGCATATATAACATTAGTGGATTGAAGGACGTTGGTTTTCTTCTGATTGAAGAAGAGAGGAAGCAAAGGTGGAGAAGTTGAAGAAAGCATGTTTGGTTGTAATCTTGAAACTGTGTTTTAGGCAAAATTTACGCATGAGTAAGGTTGGTTTGATTCTGTTTTTCGAAATAAGTGCAAAACGCACTAATGTTATATATTCGTCTCATGTACCGCTTTCCACGTATGCATTTTGTTTTTTGTTTTTTTATCTAAAAAATTTAAAGTCACCTCATTCCCTTCTTTACCTTAAAACTTAAAGTCTCGGTTCTAACTAACGAAATGAAAATAATTTTACTCAATTCTACTTTAATTTAGTATTTATTTATTTTTTCACTATATACCCAATGCGGCACAACTTATGTTGCATTTGAGTAATAATTCGTGTTATGATTAGGATTATGATTCGTGACTCGTTATAATATTTTCTCTCACAAAAAATATACGTAAATTAAAAATAATTATGAACTCATGAACCAAACGTTAATTTATTGACTGCACCTCGTCACGTAAATTGAGAATAATTATGAACTCATGAACCAAACGTTAATTTATTGACTGCACCTCGTCCTAAAATGAGACCGCGAAGTTTTGAATTTGCGCCACTATTTTGTTATAACAATAACAACAAGCAAGTGCGTTCATTAAAAACCCAGTGTATTGTCTGGCCAACTGAGACTCTCTCACGACGGAAAAGTGTTGCACTTCACGTGCTTTTTTACCTGAACAACATGAATTGAAAGAATAGAAAACTACGTTAAAAAAAAAACTCTCAGAGTACTTTTGAGGTTGTTTTTTGAGTTCTAAATGCATAACATTATATCAAATTATGTAACCAGAGTGATTATCAATATGGCAATCATTATATCTTAATTTGGCGTTATATTTAACTCGTGTGAGTTTCACTTGACAACTAATAAAATATAAAATGACAACATATTTGAACTCGTGGTATGAAAGAGACGCGTACTAGTAATTATTGTTGGCATTTTCTTTTTACAAATAAATACAAAATAAATCGAGCTTAGTTAAGAATAATTGGTAGATAGAATACTTGATAGATCAAACGCCGTCTTACCTCTAAGCTAACATTGGAATGACAACACCCCAAGGCAAGTAGTTCTATTCATTATTAGCGGTTTAAAGTATTCATTATTGAGGAGTTTCTTCAGTAAGATAAGAAAAATTGAATTAATATTCTACTTCTTAATATTAAATCTGTCTGAAATCCGTCTATTTTACACATTTTTTTAATCTAATGTGAATTTTACCATATTTATTAGTAACAAATTAATCATACTAATAGACCGGCCTACCGAAAAAAATTCCTAACTATTAATAGCTTTTGATCTAGTAGCATTCTAACAAACACTTGTGCTCAGAACCTTAAGAAATTCAATCTAATTTGCATTTGCGGAATCAAGGCCTGCGACTCAAGAAAAACACTATACAAATTGGACAAGAGTTTTAATTTTACAGTGCGTTTGAAGTAAGAATCCGTACCATAATTCGAATAATGATTCGTAACTCGCTATAGTATTTTCTCTCACAAAAAATATACATAAACCGAGAATGATTTTGAATCCATGAACTAAACATCCCCTTAGTATTTTACAACTTCAGTTACACATACACAGGCATACAATGTCCACGCGCGATCACATATATTTGCTGATACAAGTTCAAAGCCCAACAATATTCAATTTAGATTAAGACTAGAATTGTGAATGGGAAATGAGTAGAGCTCTCGTGTTCTGACCAAGATAAATATCGTGAATTTGTTTTCTCTTAAGTCAAAACTTGCATTCTGGAAATAAACTCGAGAGACAAGTTCCAACACCCAGCAAACTCGAGAGAGCCAAATTTGATTTACCTCACCACACCGGTATATTATTGCTCATGCAAATTACAAATTGCACCACATTTCACTTGAGCGAGAAGAAAATCAACATGCCATGAGATCAAGAAAGCAGCACTGAAATTCTTAACTTTTGGCTATTAGTACTCTGTCTATTCAAAATACCTAAGAAATGTTTTCAACTGAATTTCAATATATCATCTCTATTTATTACGTTTTGCAGCACGCTTGCCCTGACCTTTCTTGGGCGGTCCCTTTCCTCGACGCTTCAACATTTCAAGCTTTGATAAGCGCCTGGCAAACACAACATTTTTGTATAACATCAGAATTGACAGAAGCTAGTTACAGTTCTTAACTCTACAAAGCAATAAAGCCTGCCAAAGAGTACACTCTCGCCAACATGAGACCGAGAGAAAAAACACAAGTTGTTTTATCATAAACGAGAAAAATACGAGTTGTTTTAACATAAACGAGAGGAATGTACCTCAAAATATTTAAACATGGGCTAATAGAAGTTTACCAGAAAAAAAAAAAGGAGAAATAAAAACTCTAGCTAGGTTGCTAAAATAAATACAAAAGGGCTCGAAACAAAATCTGTCCATAATGCTCAGAAAATGTAATGAACTTCCAGAATCTGGATGTTATGCCAAGTTCCCCAGCAAGTTTTATCAGATAAATCCATTCTCTTAAAGCCTTAGTATCCCCATTCTCTATGACTAAAAAGAAAATGTAACTGCACCCATTTTGCGATGCAGATACAATAACAACTACAAAGGGAAAAAAAAGGACCATTTTACTCCTATGGATGTAAAACGCATTATGCATAGCATAGCCGTGTATAATAGTAGAACCTGCTTGAAAGCTTTGTAAACCTCAAAACAATCACCCTATTAGCAACTAAACGTGTTTTCAACATTTCTGAACTTAATGTGTGAAAACGAGGAAGACCTAGATCAAGAAGTACAAATGGTGCAATCAGCATGTGAGTTCCTCCGGCTGATGAGAAGCGTAAATAAACAAATCCCATTTCACTAATTCACGCTGTAGCAATGCAACAAAGATAGAAAATGAGAGACCTAAGTAATATTGGAATCACTTGTAACTTTGAACAGAACCCCGTAAAGTGAACATGAGATAGACAAAAAAAACATAGATGGAGTCTCAGAGAGAGAGAGAGAGAGAGAGAGATTACTCTTGTTCTTTCCGAGCCAAGATATGAGGATGTTCACTCATGTAGTTATCTGGATACCATTGAGCAACTTTCTCACCAATGAGCCTCTTGCGCAAAATCTTGTGGGAAGTTCTTTGGCCGGTCGGGTTTAGAACATGACCAAATATATTTGCTCTTGCCTCTGTTACCCCTTTTGAAATCGCAACAGCCAAAATGCTCTTTAAACCATTGCTAGCCATCCTCTCATTACCCAATACCCACCTCTCTAATTCCACCAAAAGAAAAAGTATTTAATGGTATAAAATCCTGCAAAAATAAATTTCACAACTTACAAGGTGTTTTTTCTTTTTTCTTTTTAATTTGAAATTAGTTTAAAAGCAATCGAGCAAATTGCAATCACAAACGAATGACTATAAAATGAACAGTTGGCTAGTACAAACTGACATAGCAAATGAGAAACAGAGAAAAAGTGCAAGAAGATATCGAACAAAAAAAGAGAGAAAAAACTAGCAGAGCAGCTCAAAAAAACAATAAACACCCAGATTAAACCTGAAAGAAAAAAGAAAAAAGAAAGAAAAGAAACACACGAACATGAAGGAATCAAGTACTAAAGCTGACCAAATACTAAAAAGCGTTGATTAGATTTCGCGAGGAAAAAACGTTAAATACCTTCACCACACCAACTGAGGCGGAGCGACGGCGCGCTCTGGCGGCAGAGGTTCGACCGTTCGCTTCGGGAGTCGGGACAGAGAGAAACTGAGAGTGAGAGAGTTAGAGAGAGAAAGAAAGCGATCCAACAGTGGAGAGTGGCAGATAGAAATTAGGGACTGAAGTTTCTTTTTCTCACATATAGTCCTCAGATTTAGCGTTAATCTCATTTTCTGATTTAAATTTTAAATTAAGATTTAATTTTATATTAGATTGAATAATATTTTAAAAGTCAAAATTAAAGTAAGATTAAGTGTAAATCATATGGACCATTCGTAAAATTATTGGGGGGCGCGTGTGTTAGGGCAGAACAAGAGAAGCATATAGAACGGACTAATATCCAGTTTATTTTATCAATTTGAATTTAAAATTTAAGTTTTATTATAATAAAAAACTTTTAAAAACTGCCACATCTAACTTTTTTATTATATTAAAAAATTTTCATATAAAGTCATGTCTCAATTCGAAACGAGCCCAAAATTATGTTTGTGCCCTTGTTCCAACACAAAAATTTCACAGGAAGCCAAACAAAGTCCAATGCCGGAGATGATGAATTCTTGAGGAGTTTTCGCCCTTTTTTCATTAGTCGAGTCGCGACGAGAATGTGAGGGAACTCGCGGAGCTTCCTTCTAAATCTCCTGATTTCAAAGAAATCCTACTATCCTTTTTCTGTTTCCTCTGCGGAAAACGACGTCGTTCGTTCCACTTTCCTCTCTCGCTCCTCATCCTCATCATCATCATCCTCGCCTTCCATTCAAGAATCTCTCAAGCTAATGCTTCAGAGATCCTATGGAGTTCGATCAGTATCAGCGGCATCCGTCGATTTTCCGTCAATGGCGGCTTCAAAAGCTAGGGAAGCTGCAAACTTGGCTCGCCACTATGGCCGCTACTATTGGGAGCTCTATTTTTCAGAATTCCGATTTCTTGGATTTGATACTTCTCCGAATGATTTTTTATTTATTTTTAGGATTCAAAATTCTTGTCAAAAGAATGAAATTCAGATTTATTCAGAAAAATTTGGCGCGAACTTTGTTGAATTAGGTCTATTTGTTACATTTTGTGATGAGTGCTGATAATTTGATATAGCGTCTGTTAGCCAGATGATACGCTACAGTTTTTGATGAGTGCATGTTGTTATTGCTACAACAAATTAACAATAGTGAACATATCCGAAGCGAAGCCATGCAGGAGTTGAAAGCATAACTTCAGTTCGTCATGTCATATAGGCCCGAGTCGGGCATCCAATTGCTTCGATTTGAATTATCCGGAGGATGCCCTAATATATATTATATAAAAAAAAGGGACAGTTGAACCTATTTCTCAATTCAATAGAAGCCCAAACCGTTGTTTTCAAGGACTTTGAGACACTGAGTCTAACCTACTGATTTGTAGTTATAATATTGGTTACTGGTTAGGGATTATTAATGAATTACCACTGACCTCATCAAGTTCAATATTGGTTCTCATCATTTGAGCATTGTGTACTCTAATTCTAACTGGAGGTATTTTGTATTGAAATTTGTTTCGCATTTTTCTGCAAGCTCTAGAAATGTGGCTTCTCTTTGAATTCTGAGGTTTATTCCCTTGCCTGGATGCTCCAGTCATGCAACACCCAACAATAAATGCATCAAGGAAAACAACTCCACCTTCTCTTTCTCAAAATGGGGGTTCTGGACTCTGATGTGACCATTGGTAATCGCCTTCTTCGTACGTGAGGTGTGGCAACATGAGCAATGCATGTGCTCTATTCGAGGAAATGCCTCAAAGAAACTGTTTCTCTTGTAAATTGACAGTAAACCTATTCACAAATCTTATGGAAAAAAGAGTAGAAGCATTTAATCAGTCACTCCGTCACAACTATGACCTATGGTCGGTGCTTAATTTTGTACCGTGGAAGTTATATTGTACATCTCTTCAACAGTTTCTTAATGGGACCTGTGGAATTATTATTATTATTATTTTTTTTTTTTTTTCTCATTTAAACATCCTTTCGAAATTATAACCTACAATTTTCTTCTGTTGATTGAGAGGAATAAATGGATTCTTGAAGACAGCAGAGATGTTTGAGAAAGGATTGACTTTCCGTAGCATTATCAATATCTCAAACTAAGGAATTCGCTAATATTTTCTTCATTGATTTGTTGAGGGTATGGAAATTGATTTTGTAAGGTTTAATTAGTTTTTGGAGAGTGGGATTGGCTCTAAGATTTTGTTTTGTTTGTTTTGCCTTTATGAGGATTCCTTGTCCTCTTCATGCCGACAAAAGAGTGTCAACCTCCATTCTTGCTAGTGTTGCAATAGAATGGTAAAAACGAAACAGAATGGTAAAAAATGGCAAAAGATCAAACAGTTGAAGCTGCAAATAATTAACATAGTCAAACATTCAAACACATAGCCTGAGAAAATCAAATACCGGCAATCAAAAACAACCAAACTCAAAAAATCGATTTTGGCCTCCCAGATGAGACCTTTTTTAGATGATTTATATGAAGCAAAGATATATCAATCCAACAAATTAACTACCTTGGTAGGAAGTTAAAGTAATCATCAAAGCCCTTCATTATATATATATATATATATATACACACCATATAGTGTGTGCTTGTATTGAGAAAATAAACCCGAGCTTTGTCAACTTCCTATTAACCTGAGCTTTGTCAACTTCATATTAACCTGAGCTTTGCACTAAATCACAAGTATTCAACTTTCTATCAAAAACAACCAGGCAAACACCTTAACCCTATATGGCGCACAAGATTTCCAGATTGATTTAAAAGGTTCAAAACGAGGATTATTTGGATTTTTTTATCAAGGATTGAAACCCCGCGCCCCCCCCCCCCGGGAAGGATTTGGAGAAAGATTCCCCAAAACCTGCAACGAATTTAAGAGCTGATCATATTCTCTTTCATTGAGATTTCGACGAAGACCAAAGTTCCAATTTACAACAGAATTATCACCTACAGACAAAAACCTCTTTTATTTTCACCTCCCTGTCATTTTTAAGACTAAAAAGCCATGGAAAAGTGATTACAAAAGGCTGATCACTACACCATTTGTCTTCCCAAAATCTCACAATGCTTCCATCTCCCACCTTCCATTTCACCCTATAAAGATAATTAAATCCGTGCCTTATGTTACTAAACTAAACAAGTATATTTTTCATAACAGAAAACAAGTAAGATGCTATAATTAGTTAATAGTTATTATTTTTGGTTTTATATAGTTTGTTTTTACATATCATATTTGATGCTTTCTTCTCTCAAGGATATATTTTCCTTTCTTTTTTTTTTTGTTTTTTTTTTGTTTTCAAGAATTAAGGATTATTGATGTATTCAGGTCATGTTCTTCTCTCTTTCGTTTTTTTTCTTTTTTATTTCTTAATGTCTTAACATATATACTCATGGTAAATTTGCCTCCAAATTAACAGCAGTTGAGAAGGAATTGAGGGAAGTTCGCAAAAGCCTAAACATAAATGAGGAATATGTGAGTGCATTAAGAACCAAATCCTACGCCGACTTCTTCAACAAAGCTCAATTACTAGTAAACCAGGAGCAAACTCAAACCCAGATGAGAAAACAATCAGATAATTAATGATCTTCTTTAACGAGCTTCAAGGATGCATCCCTGTTCTTCCACCATCTCATTTTTATCTAGATTTGTCTAGCAAATTTACTTTAAAAAATCGATTTTGGCCTCCCAAAATCTCTACCAAAGTAAGCCCAAATCGACCAAATCGACATTCAGAAATCCAGTGACCAATTCCACATTTAGAGGATAAACAAAGGGTTTACGGTTTACAGAGCAGAGAAAAAAAATTTTGTGCAAAATCTGAAAACCCAAATCGACATTCAAAACCACCAACACCAAATCGACATTCAAAACCCAAATTTCATCAAGCCATACACCAAATCGACATTTAAAAAAAAAAGCTCAATCGAGTACTTACAGATGCAGAGATTGTGAGCTCCAACTAGATCCGGTCTCAGCCAGCGATGAAATTTGGAAACCCTAACACGAGCAAAACCACCAACACCGAGAGAACAGAGATTTTGGGGACTCCGCCGCCGACAATCGCAGGAGATAAACGGAGAGAGGGAGTCCGATAGAGAGAAGAAAGATAAACGGAGGGAGAGAGCTTTGGCTGAGAGAGCGAAGGCTGCGGCTGAGAGAGGCTGAGAGAGGCTTAGAGAGGCTGAGGCGAGGCTGAGGCTGAGAGTTTCAGGAGCGGCTGAGCTGAGAGCACGAAGAGAGTTTCAGAATGATAGGTTTTAATTATGTGCGGTAATTTCGCTATTTAGAAGCTTGCAAGGGCAAAACCGTAAAACAAGCGGAAGAGTGAAGAAAGAAGAGTCGTGAGAGGAGAGAGAAAGTGAAAGAGAGATCAGCCGCTGAAACTGATAAGGAGCCCCCGGAAACAGCCGCCGAAGCCGAAAACGGCGTTGTGTCAACAAACGCTTCCTTCCCTCAGACGAGCCCTCTCCCTCTACGATCAGATCAACCTCATCGACAACGGCCCCGACGACCAGCTTCGCTTTCATCGGTTTTCGTTTTTCCTAATCCCTTCTTCGCATTTGTTTTCTTCTGTTTCAAACCGTTAATTGGAGCTGTTGAATTTGTGAAAATGGTTGATTTCTCTTCTGCCTTGATGATCGAAGTCTGAAAACCTGTGAATTTTACTAAATTTTGATCCTTTTTTACCTTGCGACTAAAAGTTTGTACAATTTCGCCCGAAAATTTGACGGAATATGATGGAAAATTAGGGAAATGTGATGAAAACCACGAACTGGGACAATTTCTGGTTATGGAGTATGGATGTTACAAATTGAAGTTAGGTCTGGAATAAGTAAAATTAAATTGATTTTTTATTCTACTTCAATTCAATTTGAAAAAGAAAAAAAAAAAAAAAAAGAAAGAAAACTATTCCAATTTTTGTATGTTACAGTTTCGTCTCAGTGTTTTTTATCACCTGGAAACGTACTTACAAATTAATACCGGAAAGGTTACTGGAAATTGTGAAGTTTTTATGTCTTTTTTATGTATTTCAGTTATGAGGATAGAAACAAGTACATATATGTATGCATGTGTGTGTGTATACATATATATGCACTCTTATGCATTTGCATTTGTTCTTTGGTGAGATTTTTCTCTGGTGGGGAGGACTGCTTTGTTATGTTTGATTGAATTCTTGATTCTTTTGTTCATTGATTTGTTGACAAGCAAGTTGAAAATGTATATTGTTGCGTGTTAGGGAGCGAATAGCCAGAACGGGAGAAGGATATAGAACGTACAAAATTACGTTTGTGTCCCTCTTCCAACGCAAAAATTTCACGGGAATGTGGGGGAACTCGCGGAGCTTCCCTCTGAAGCTCCTGATTTCACAGAAATCCTACTATCCTTTTACCATTTCCTCGGTGGAAAACGGCGTTGTTTGTTCCACTTTCCTCTCTCGCTTCTCATCATCATCGTCCTCGCCTTCCATTCAAGAATCTCTCAAGCTAGGGCCTCAGACATCCAATGGAGTTCGATTAGTTTCAGCGGTGTCCGTCGACTTTCCGGCCATGGCGGCTTCAAAAGTTAGGGAAGCTGCGGACTTGGCTCGCCACTATGGCCGCTGCTACTGGGAGCTCTCCAAAGCTCGCCTCAGGTACAGTCTCGTAAAATACTTTAATTTTTGGAATTTTGATTTCTTGGATTTGATATTTCTTCGAATGATTTTTTATTTTTAGGCTTCAAAATTATTGTCAAAAGAATGAAATTCAGATTTATTCAGAAAAATATGGCGTGAACTTTGTTGAATTAGGTCTATTTGTTACATTTTGTAATGAGTGTTGACAATTTGATATAGTGTCTGTTAGCTAGATGATACACTAGGGTTTTTGATGAGTGCGTGTTGTTATTGCCACAACAAATTAACAATTGTGAATATAGGCGAAAGTGCACGAGTTGAATGCATAACTTCAGTTCCTCATGTCATGTAGGCCCGAGTTGGACATCCAATTGTTTCGATTTGAATTATTTGGAGGATGCCTTAATATATATTATATAAAAAAGATGGACAATCAAACCTATTCCTAGATTCAATAGAAGCCCAAACTGTTGTTTTCAAGGACTTTGAGACACTGAATCTAACCTACTGATTTTTAGTTATAATATTGGTTACTGGTTAGGGATTATTAATGAATTGCCACTGACCTCATCAAGTTCAATATTGGTTCTCATCATTTGAGCATTGTGTACTCTAATTCTAACTGGAGGTATTTTATATTGAAATTTGGTTTGTATTTTTCTGCAAGCTCTAGAAATGTGGGTTCTCTTTGAATTCCGACATTTATTCTCTTGCCCGCATGCTCCAATCGTGCAACACCCAACAATAAATGCATCAAGGAAAACAACTCCACCTTCTCTTTCTCAAAAAGGGGCTTCTGGACTTTGATGTTACCATTGGTAATCGCCTTGTTCAGATGTACGTGAGGTGTGGCAGCATGAGCAATGCATGTGCTCTATTTGAGTAAATGCCTCAAAGAAACTGTTTCTCTTGTAAATTGACAGTGAACCTATTCACAAATCTTATGGAAAAAAGAGTAGAAGCATTTAGTCAGTCACTCCGTCACAACTATGACCTATGGTCGGTGCTTAATTTTGTACTGTGGAAGTTATACTGTACATCTCTTCAACAGTTTTTTATTGGGACCTGTGGATTTTTTTTTCTTCATTTAAACATCCTTTTGAAATTATAACCTACCATTTTCTTCTGTTGGTTGAGAGGAATAAATGGATTCTTGAAGACAACGGGGATGTTTGAGAAAGGATTGACTTTGGGTAGCATTATCAATATCTCAAACTAAGGAATTCGCTAATATTTTCTTCGCTGATTTTTTGAGGGTATGGAAATTGATTTCGTAAGGTTTAATTAGTTTTTGGAGGGTTAGATAGTCTCTGAGATTTTGTTTTGTTTGTTTTGCCTTTATGAGGATTCCTTGTGCTCTTCATGCCTACCCATGTTTTCTCCCCTGAAATTAATGTAGTTCTTTGTTTCTTAAAAAAAAAAAAAACAAAAGGATAACCTACCATTTTCGTTATGTCCAGCTTGCTAGTTGTTGCAACTTCTGGAACTGGGTTTGTTCTTGGGAGCGGCAGTGCTGTTGATTTATCTGGACTTTGTTGGACATGTGTTGGTACCATGATGGTTGCAGCTTCTGCTAATTCTTTAAATCAGGTTTGTTCTTGAGTTGGTTTATTTCCATGATTGCGTGATTTCTAATTGTTTACTCTACTCTTGCTGTGCGAGACAGTAAGGCTCACTTGAAACCCTTGTTGAATGAACTCTTGTTGTATGTTAAGGTGTTTGAGAAGGATAATGATGCTAGAATGAAGAGAACTAAACAGAGGCCACTACCTTCAGGGCGCATAACAAGATCTCATGCAGCTACTTGGGCATCTTCCATGGGTTTAGCTGGCACTGCATTATTGGCAAGCAAGGTGGCCAGATATATTCACCCTCCCTCACATTTGTACATGATATTTGACAGTATATGAATCACAGAAATTTTTGGGAAACAGTAGACAAGAACTAATGTTGGAGCTATTATGACAAGGTTTGTGCAGGCTAATGCATTGGCGGCTGGTCTTGGCGCTTCTAATTTGATTCTGTACGCATTCATATATACCCCCTTAAAACAAATTCACCCTGTGAATACGTGGGTTGGGGCTGTTGTTGGTGCTATTCCACCACTTCTAGGGTAAGTTTTAACTGTTCTTCTGACTTAAATTTTTTTATTTTCCTATTCAAATTGCAAGAGTTGCTTTAGGATCTGAGTGGTGACAATTTTCCCTTGTTTTCAAACGTCTGTGATCCAAGTATCCTTGATTTGAAACTGAGCACCATATTTTCATGAAAGTTGGACTCGTTTTATTTTTGAACATAACATGGGTGCATCTTATCAAAGATCTCTTGTGAGATACTGTCTGACTGTTCCTTAATACGTGTGATTTAAGGTTTTGGCTAGAATCAACCAAGTTTGCATTCTGGCTCATGATCTTCTGTTTTGGTTTTCAGATGGGCTGCAGCATCAGGCCAGGTTTCGCTTCATGCAATCATTCTCCCAGCTGCTCTCTACTTTTGGCAAATACCCCATTTTATGGCCCTTGCATACTTGTGCCGCAACGATTATGCTGCAGGAGGGTATGGAATATGAATTGTTTCTAAATGAGACTTCAATGTTTGGAAGCAGTTGGTGACTCCATAATTTGTTACCAGTTTCTGATGAGGCTGTAAATTTCTTTTGGCATTAGTTGAACAGAGCTATCTGTTGCTTCGAGAAAATTTTTTAATTGTGGAAGTTTTATTTCCTTGCATCCGAATACATGATGTGTCTACTACTGTACATGACAAAAGATATAGGACAAATGAGGCATGAACTAGACGCACACTGAGTTTTCTTGAGGAGATGATTGCGAACATTATTTAATGCAAACATCTTAAATAATTCGGAAATATTTCTAACTTTTAGTAGATAAGTAGATTGGAATATGGAAGTTGGGTGGTCAAGTTAAATCTCTAGATAGGTAATCTTCGGTCTAGGCTGGACCCTTGCACATTTGAGGGACAGTGCAAATGTCTTTTTTATGAAGTTTCATGTTCTTTGATGTGAGGCATAATTTTTTCCTTCTTTTGTCCAGGTTTAAGATGTTCTCTCTTGCTGATGCTTCTGGCCAAAGAACTGCCTCTGTTGCTTTGAGGAACTGCTTCTATCTGATCCCTTTGGGGTTCTTAGCCTATGATTGTAAGCCACAAGATTTCCAAATAGAAATTATTATAATCATTTGGTTTTTTTTTTTTTTGTTTTTTTTGTTTTTTAATATTGTTCCTTGATGCATTTTTGTTTTAAATATTGAGCCTCCATCTCTTGGTATTTGCGTTATGTTGCTTGATTAATTTTCTTTATCAACCCATTTTCACCCTTTTGATAGTAAGAGGCTGAAAAAAAAGCAAGACAAACATCCATGCCACATACTTTATAGGAGGCGTATTAGAGAGAGAAATGACCAATTGTTGTCGTGGATGCTAGAATCTTAATCCAAAATGTCTCTGTTTTAGACGTGGATGCTAAGTATCTTAATCTTAAATGCACCTCTTTTATCCTTTTTTCTTCCCAATTCTGTTGGATAATACACAAGGCTTATTACTAGTGCCATAATATTAATTGAATTATCTTTGTGACGGTTACAATTGTTTGAACTACTGTTGTTTTGGGGCATTAATGTTAATGTCATTATGATGTAGTTGTAAGTACTGTTTTCTTGGGGCATTAATCTTAATGTCATTATGATGTAAACATATTGGAATTCGACTACAGGGGGCATGACTTCTAAGTGGTTTTGTTTTGAATCCACACTCCTCACCCTGGCCATAAGCGCTACAGCATTTTCGTTTTATCGAGACCGTACTACGCATAAAGCAAGGAGGATGTTTTATGCCAGTCTTTTGTATCTTCCTGTTTTTATGTCGGGAATTCTGTTCCACCGTGTTTCCGACGATCAACATTGCACTGAAGATGAAAAGTTAGATAATATGGTGCAACTTGCAACCTCTCCACAAGAGAGTGAGGATGTCAACCGAAAGAAGAACAAGGGCACACAAGTGCGGCCACCCGTTGCATATGCCTCTGTTGCACCATTTCCTTTTCTTCCTGCTCCTTCATATGCTGCTTCTTGACAAGTTAGTATCGTATGAGTTTTGTATCACTGGACGTAATAAAAGGTCAAAAAGTTGCCCTGTAAAGAAATATTTATTTCTTTCAAGTTTTCTTTGTAGACCAGTAAATTTTGCATTCTGATCAATTTATTTATGTTTGGCTTCTGAGGATTGTAAGCCCGCAAGCTGCAATTGAGAAATGTATTTTTTACTTTAAGAACAACATTTGAACATTCATTTTTTGCCAATGAAATTGTTGGAGTATCCTTGAACATAATAAATTCTATGAGCATTATGTTTGTAATGAAAGAGATGGAACAGGACAAAAGATGGTGGAACTGGAACCTTGGAAATGTAATCGTATTTCCATGTGAGAAGTGTGTTAGATACAACTAACAGTAAGCAATTGCTTTTAATTTAGTTATGATGCACTACCCTTTATCATTCAGCGGGGAAAAAAAATTGTATCCAACTATGTTATCCGATAATGCCATGGAATAACTCTTGTGATATATTTCTGCATGGTAACAGGTGATTGAACTATGTGGCAGGGAAAACTATATATTTGTAATGATTTGTAATTTTAATCCAGTAGTAGAAAATAACTCGCGAGTTTCTCAGCATATTAGTTAATCATCATTTAGCTAGAGGGAAAAGTTTGCTATATTAGACTATTACTAGTTATTTAGCTAAAGGGTATAGCTAAAGCGCGAATTTAGCCAAGTCAAAGAACCGTTTGATTAGGAAGTTAGATTGTGTGATTGACGTTGCAATATTTAGGGTTTAGAGGGTTAGCATGGGTATAACACGTTAAAATGTAGGCATGACAGGATTATTAAATAGGTATGGCTCAGCACGATTATAAAATAGGTCGGGCTTGATGCGCCTTTTAAACACGAAGCACGCTTAGGAGACGACACGTTGAAGGCTTGACACTGGCACGAGCATGGACATGATAAGTGGTGTGATAAAATGGGTTCTTGTACCCAATAATTGGCTTGAATCCATGCCTTAGATGTAGTTGTACTTATGTGAAAATAAATAAATAAATAAGTAGACGTCTTGTGCTAGCCAAATGAAGAACAGTTGACGTGAAAAAATATAAATGGTCACAAGGTAGCTCCTGAGAAGTGTTTTCCAATACAAACAACCTATCAGAAATCTTAGCATGAGAGTCAAGTTACTAACAATCTGGCTTAAATTCTTAGCTCTAAGATTGGCCAAAACCTTCCCTACAAATAGGCACACAAAGCTCTTATTTTTCCCGCACAAAATCTAGTTCATCAACTTTCAAATTTATACAACACATCAGAATGGCATCTCAAAATAATTTCAACTTCCCATACTTTCCTTCACTCCCTTATCACCCTTATCAGCCACCACCACCTCCAGCAGCAAAGCCACCTCGTCCTCCAGTACAGCCGCCGCCACTCCCGCCTCATCCTCCAGTGCAGCCGCCGCCTCTCCCTCCCCGTCCTCCATCACCAGACAATCATCCAACTGTTATTGTCGTTGTGTTCATATCAGTCGGCGGCGTTTTCTTCCTCGCATTCCTTGCAGCCGCTCTCTTTTGCTTCCTTAAGAAGAGGAAGAAGAAAACCGTACAAGAAACGGACATCATTCATTTCAACGAGCATAAGAAGATAAAAGAGGCCATTGTGGAGGGCCCTCATGGAATAGAGACTGTGGTCTTATCAGTTGAGGATGATATCCATATTGATGAAGAAAAACAGAAGAATGAAAAGGTTGGTGAAGGTTTACATGCCAAGTCTGTGGAAGGGAATATTGCTTCTTCTGGTTCTCGTTAGCACCATATTGAACACAAGGCTTGATTATGACCCTTGAACTATTTTTTTTTTTTTTTTTTTCTGAATAGGTTGAAATACAAGTATAAACTGAAATATGCTTAAAGTCACGGCAACATAAAAACCATATTAATTATTTCATATGTTATTCACCGTTTCTTTTCTTGCTTGGTTCATAAGTTGTCCATTTGGATGTGTAATAAAACTGCTAACTCATACCGTTGCAATGAAAATACTATAGATGTGTATTTGCCTTTTCTATTTTGAATTTTCTTTGGCCTTTTTCTTGGGGCTCAAATATAACTTGGGACTTTATTGAATATGAATATCCTTGGGGAAAAAAAAAAAAAAAAAAAAAAAAAACAACAACGACAGAACCAGACATCAAAGCCCAGGCCGCAGCCTCATGAGACTTTCTTAACCATAGAAAGACCAAAACTTGAAATTTAGAAAGTAATCAACAAGCATGTACTACAAGAAGATTTTCCTATTTTGGAGTGTGAAAGGTGTTCGTCGGACAACTAAACGTTCAATTGAAATGAGGTGAGATATTAGACATTATTATTAGGCATCTCCTTTTTATGTCATTTCAACCGGCCATTTCCTTTTTATTAAAATCTATACTATACCAGGGCATTGATTTTTTTGCGGATTGGAAGACATGAAGTGGTGCATGAAGAAATTCGCAAACATTGTATTTCAGGTTAGATTTTTCACGAATCAGTATGTTTATTTAATTGATTAATTTATTTCTTTGCGTTGTTGTGATCATTGTCTGCATGGCAGAAATGAACTTACAAGGTGTTGAAGACATACAGACAAAATTAGATAAAGTCAAAGTTGTTGCATGCCTACAAGAGATTGATGTATGCATAATGGATGAACCTTCCAGCATGAATTTGCAAATGCTGCTTTTCATTATTTCAAAAAAGAGCAGTTATTGCTCATTTATTATATAATGAGATTGCAATGTATTTGGACTTTTATGGAACGCAATTCCCAGTCTGACTGAATTTAGAATGAAGAGCAATATGTTTTTAGCTTTTATTGGGGAATTTATGGCGTCCTTATTGGGGAATACTATGTTGTATAGTACAATATGTTGTCTGACTCTGATTGAAGGGTGCAGTCACTGACTGAAAAAATAAAAAAAAATAAAAAAATACACCCACAAGAAGAGTAAGAGTACATTGATGAGCAATTTACACTTCTCAGGTATCCTTGGGACCTTTAATGTTTGCTTCAAAGTTTGTCTTGGTTGGCAATCATTATCAGTTTCCTCCTCTTGTCCAGGTCTATATCTTCCTCTTCTTCTTCTTCTTCAATTTTTTTTTTTTTTTTCCTGGGTCCTTATTGCGTCAAGTTTTCATGGTATAACCTTTAGTCCATTAACGGTGTTGATTATTTGGAAAACCGAGTTCTCTCTCCGTATGTTCTTTTCGTGCTAGCTAAATACTAAAATATTTGAATGCAGTATCGTATGTCTCGTGGCATTATGGATCGATCAAATGCACTGATATATGGTGACAAACTGCGTTGTGGTTCCTCCAATATAGCTGATGCCAAACTTAAGTTCTCAAGTTTAAGGTCTGGTTCATCATGGATTAATGAGGTAAGAGGATTTTCTGCTGTCTTTGTTCCAGGAGTTAAAATATATTCTTTATACCTGATATGTATCTGCATCAAATATACGGCTTGTCATTTATAGCATCGGAAAAGGAGTTCGAAGCTGTTCGGACACAAACTTTAGTAGTGTCTAAAGAAAAGGAAAAAAAAAATGTCTCAAGTAAATCTTTCCTGCTCTTCCAAACTGACTAAACTTAATAGGATTCACTTGTCATTGCTCTGTTCATGGTTGCAGATTTTGGATCCAGACAGACCAGTTATATTTATTAATACAGGTATCTAAAAGTGTTTCACATACTTTTATTTCCGCTATCAAAAGATGATGTATAATGCCTAGTTTTTCTAATCACATAATCTTTCTCATGTGGAGCGGCTGAGTGCCTTTATTTCATATTGGCAATATCATCACAAGCTTCTCGATTGATTGTGTAGAAAAAGTTGATAATGGTTGGATCGTGCAAGACTCTATCAAAGGTTCCACTGCTTAAGCTTCTCCTTGAGAAAGTTGAAGAGCAATCAGGCATCTTGATGAATGGGCATCTTGAGAGCTCAAGAGGTGCACACAGTTGAGATGATTGTAAATTGTGGAGAACATTTTAAAGCTAAGAGGTGTACATAGAAACTTTAATGATTATTTCTGTTGCAATTTGTAAGTTGTGTACAGATGAACAAACGTTGTAACAGTTTCAGAGATGTAATAAGAAAAATCCTTTTATATTCTCTCATGTAGTTCGCTGAATACCCCAGCTTAGGAATTAAAACGGTTGGATGTAACGAATTTATATCGGCAGTGAAGCCAATCAATGAGTGATAGGAGAGGGTACTCCCGTTCATTGATCCCAAACTGCCAGTTTATGGCAGTTGAAGACCGAAACCGAACAGTAGGTTACCGGAATTATGAAGCCGGCAAAACGTGACTGGGAGGAACGTTGGCTAGCCGGTCCCCAACTAAATTCACTTTGTTGAAATCAACCATTTATATCCCATGAACATGTGGTAACCATGACGTATGGCACAGTGATGCTTGTGGAGGATTATCATGTCGTCATGGTTGCAAGATTAAAGTGGCAAGGGCATATCATATCATTACACAAAACAAAACACAATAAGATGCTCACAGATTTCACTACATCAAAAGCACTATCCAAAATCAACACTTGTAAATTTCCATAAAAGTTCATGAAAGGAATTAATATAGTATCCTTGGAATGTTCAAATCATATGCTATTTTTAAACACTAAATATATGTGTGCACGTGCCACTAAAATTTATGCCTCTGAAAGATGAAGCATGATAGCCATTGATGCACTCTTCTATCCCAAATAAGATTTGAGACGGATCTTTGTATGAACCATCATATCATCATCAAAATAAGATCAGAAACTTTACCTTTGTGATTGTAGGGGAATTCCTTCGAGAAGGATGGACAATTTCTGAAGTCTCTAGTGTTATTGAAACCTGGAAAACAGCAATCCCTTCATAGAGCATCATTAAATAAAACAAGCGTTCAGCTACTTTAATGATTTCTCAGTAACCACTACAACAAAATAAACTTATTTACAACCACGGAATGTCGTCGCAAATGACTATGTTGTCGTAGGAAATATTATATTTGCGACGACAAGTCGTCGCAAATAATATATTTGTGACGACACAATTTTGAGATGTCGGGAATAAGTCGTCACGAATGTTCTGTCAAATATATTATTGATGATGATGTGTTCTAAATTATTTGTGTCTCGCAAAAGTTGTTAGTATCGTCGCTAGTAATTTAGACTATTTGCGACGACATTTTTAGATTTGTCGGCGCAAAAAATGTTTTCCTTTTTTTACCCTATTTTCCTAATAATATTAATTTTTTAAATATATAAATTAGAAGAAAATTAAACAATAAAATTGATATTTGTTAATAAAAGATTGATATAAAAAAGTAAACACAATAATAAAATAAGTCTTAAAAAGTAAATTAATCAATCTATACTAAAAAGTATTGATAATAAGAAAAATAAAAATAGATATTTTAATCTCCTAAATTAGCAGCATCGTCGTCCTCATCCTCGTCTTCTTCGTTTCGCTCAGGTGGCGGCGGCGGAGGAACCGGCGGTTCAGGACGATTAAGTGGCAAGAAGTTGATATTGGAATTCATCGACCGCATGACTTCTATCATGATCTGTTGGTTGTCGAACACCTTGCATTGCTCGACGTAGATGTTGTTCAACCACTTTTGGACATGCTGGGGGAAATTAATCGAAGACGACCCGTCCGATTGCGAAGTAGATGAGGAGGTGGAAGCCCTTGAAAGAAGACTCCTCTGTGGCAATGCCGGTCCCACTGTCTTAGTGTGTCCTCTCACTTTTCCAAGACTTGGGACATAATCCCCTCCTCATTGACCAGCGTGGATGAACCTTCGCTAGCAGATTGTGTCATCTGTATGGTTCTTTCCCCATCCATCTGAGCCTGCAAAGGTAAATGAAATAAAAAAGAATAAAAATAGTATAATATGTCATGTTAAATATGAAAAAAGAAATAAATTTAAAATTTACTTACAAATGCCTATTCCGCGTCCGGGTTGACAAAATTCTGCCCACGATGGGGCATGTCACCCCAATTGTCAATTAATGATCTTAACTCATGGGTCTCAGAATTTGCCTAATCAAGTTGAACGTGTTAGAATAATTTTTAAGCCAAAGTGACAAAAACTTAATGATGAGGGGAGTATGACTTTCTACCATGGAAGCTAGACCACTTTTGACTGTCACGGTTTTGTTGATTTGTAGCAGATTTTTTTAGTAATGATCATAGATGAATTAGTAACATACTTAATAATTAAATAAACCAATTAATAAAAAATCAGAAGACATAATGAACTTGAACCTAAAAAGAAGGGGATGTAAAACGATCACAGTTAGGGCTGTTCATGGGTTGGATTGGTGCGGGGTAGGGCTTTTTCTCCCCCCGCCCCAAAGGGTGCGGGTTGCACATATTTGGCCCCAATGATGTTGGAAAAATTTCACAACCTAATGGTGTTTGAGTTGGGTTGGGGCAGTGCGGGGTAGGTTGGGTATTCGGTTTCAACATTCAAAGAATCAACGACTCAAAGTTCAATCTAACATTTAAAGTTCATCATTAAATAGAAATAATAACTCCAACATTCAAACAGATAGAAATTCAAAGTTCAATCCAACATCAAACATAAAGTAAAGTTGTCTATCCAACATCAAACATAAAGCAAACATAAATTAGTCTACACTCATAAATTAGTCTTCACATAAAGCAAACATAGAGGCTTAATTCAAACATGAAGAAACTAGAGTGTAGAAATGAGTTGCTTGTCTAGGGTTAGATATTATAAGAGGTAAGTTAGAGCGCGGGTTGGG